CCAGGCGGGGTGCTCTGTGCCTGCACCAGCAGCTGAGGTGCCCTCGGGCCCCACAGGTGCGCACAGAACCCGGCGTGGGGGCAGGCTCCATAGAGTCGCTTCTCAGGAAATTTTTCAGCCCAGAGCGTGTGGCCTCGGAAGCCGCGAGGGACGGCTTTCCCCGAGTGAAGGCGGCTGAGTGGCGCCCGCCTGGCCCACCTCGACCGGCTCCCTCGTTGGTGCTGATAGCTGCTTGGGGACCACAGTCAGCTCAGGGACAGACTCGCTTCCTTTGCCCCGAGAATATGAGGGCGAGGGGGTGGGGGCCGTTTATTCGTCCCGTCCCCAGCCTGCCCCCGGGCATGGCTGTGACCTGGAGAGAAAGCGGGTACCGTGAGGTCCCGTGGGGCGGGCCCCTGAGGAGGCTGCAGATGGAGCCCACGCAGCCCTGCCCAGATGTCCCCTCACAGAGGACCCCAGCAAGGAAAGGGGCAGCAGGCCCCCAAGGCAATCACCCGTGAGACACCCTTGCCTTCGCACGCTGTCCTTGGGAGGACGCACCAATGGCTCTAGCCACGTAGCAGCCCTGGTGGACAGAACAGGATGCCTGGGGGCTGGTCATTTCTTGCCGAGAACTGCGGGAGCGACCGTTCTGCTGCTGTCGCACCCCTGAGCTGCGGCCTCCAAGTCCTCTGGTGGCGGTGGGATCACACAGGACGGGGTGCTGTAAGATGTCGAGGGGGTTTGGGGGACCCGGAGGGGCAGCAGAGATGTCCCTTTGACCCGTGTGCCCAGCGGGGCTACTGGTGGGGGGCAGCGGTGCTCAGCTGGGGCTGGGCTGGGGGTGGGCGTCCTGGTGTGGAGGCAGGACCCTGAGCCTAGTGCCCCTACAGGTCTGCAGCAGCCTCAGAGGGCCTGATGCCCTAAGGGGTGTCCTGTCCTACAAATCCCTCCCACCGTCCCTGGAGCCTAAACCTTGCCCCTCCTAGCTTTACCCCTGCTTCCTCTCTTAACGGAGTGGGTGATTTTAAGCAGCCTCCTTTGAACGCCTCCAGATTCCGGGCGGCCTCCTGCCTCCCGGACCCTGGCCCTGGGGCTTGGCTGGCGTGGTGGTCTTGCTGGGGAGGTTACCTGAGACCGGGATCTGCTGTGTGGGCTGAGGGCCCTGTGGGGAGCGGGTGGGTGCAGGGCTGTGCTTGGAGGCTTGCTTCTGGAATGGGAGTGCTGGGCTTTGGAGCAGCAGAGGGACAGCTGGCAGGGCGCTGAGGCTGCAGAAGGGAGCGAGGCACCCAGGGCAGCCGGGCAGCTGGTCCAGGGGCAGGATGGGCACCCGCAGGAGGCTCCTTCCCGCCGGGCGGCTGAGTCACGCACCCCCTCTGGCTGATTTCCTGGTGACCCTGTGCTGTGGCTGGCCACAGGAGACCGGTTCTGGGTGGGCCCTGACATTGCAGGTGGGGTTCAGCACCCCTGGGACTGTGATCTCTATTTCAGGCCCTCGGCGACGTGCTGTGCTGGGGACTGGGTGGGTGCGGAAACTGGACGCCGCGGGTGGAGGTGGACTTGAGCCTCAGCTGTCTGTCTCCATGGTGATGGATGCCAGCTGTTGTCAGCCCGGGCGTGAAGGAGAGGGACTGCTTACCTGCCCTACTGGACCCCTCGGCGTGGGGAGGGGCTAAGCTTTGTGGACGCACCGTGGTGTCTTAGGCACGTGGCAGCTGATGTCTCTGTGGGGCTTTTGTTGCTTTTTATGTGTTGTTCATCATGATCCCAAACACTTCCCAGGTGCCACACACATCTTGAGCACCCAGTCAGTATTGCCTGGGCAGGTGGGTGAGTGGATAATGGATGGAAGAATGGGTGGGTGGATACGTGGTGGGTGAGTGGATGGTGGGTGGATGAGTGAGTGAGTGAGTGGGTACCTTTTTTGGGTGGAGGCACTGCACACAGCACCATCCTCTGTTCTGGAGCAGGCCCCGTGCACATGGGGTGGCCCCATCCACGCCCTGGCCCAGTGGGGTGTGCTGTACACCCTGTCTGGCACCTGGCGTGCCCACAGGAAACCTCGTGTAGCGATCGCACCCTTCTCTGCAGGCCCCTCTCAGGGCAGGGCTGGCCTCTGAGCGGCACAGCCAAGCCTCTGCCCGCGCCGGAGCCTGAAAGCAGGTTTTCCTCACCTGTGCTTGCCCCGCTGGCCACCACACCAAGCAGGTAGCAAAGTGGGAGAAGTGTGTCTGCACGCACCTGCGTGGGTGATTTGGCCGCAGGATCCTCCTGTTCTGACGTCCTAAGGCCCTGCCCACCGTCCTGCTCACCCCCGATGTGCAGGCCGGAACCTGGGGGGCAGGGCAGGCCTTCGGCCTCACCTGTGAGACTCCTCCAGGCCCCACTCTGCAGGTCCACTTTCGGGGCCCTGTCTGTCCTGGGGGTCCCTGGGAGGCTGGGGTGTGGGCACCCAGGAGGCCCCAGAGCAAATGAGGACAGTGCCCCACTGAGAGCAGCAAACATGCTTGTTTCTCAGATCACACTCCCTGGACGCAGAGGGAACCCCACAAGGGTTGAACGCGCCTTCCCGTTCACTTTAGGTCATCCCGTTGGACACCCAGCTTGTGGAACACTCAGGGAAGTGTTCCATGAACAGCCAAAGAAATGAGGGAGCGAAGCACATGGAATGGGGCAAATTTCTTGCCCCTCGTGAGTCAGACGTGGCTTAACGGTCAGACCTTCTCCCGCCTGGGGTTCTGAGCGCACGCGGTGCAGAAAGAGTTGACTGCGCTTGTGGACAGCAGGAACCCAGTTTTTATGCGTGCCTTTCATCTAGTAAAGTAGTTGATCAAAATGTCATGTGATAAATGTCCCTTGATGTGCAAGTCACATGATTGGATGTGGCACCACTTGGGGGGCTGTGTTTGTTGATGAATGTGCGATCGGTCATCTCCAAGCCAGTGAGGGTTCCCGGCGAGCGGGCAGCGCGGAGCCTGTACCCCGCCTGCGGGTCCGAGGGTCTGCGTGCCGGGCCCTGCCGCCCTCCTGGTGATTTTAATTGGGTATTTTGCTTTCATCAACCATGGGTTGCTTGGACATTTTCGAGCGATTCTCCCCAGCCTTTTAAATATCAGAATGTCTTTCTGTCGGTTTTCCTGAGCAGACACATGTTGAATGTCTTGGGGAGAGGGGTGGCTCTGACACAGAGTCTTTGAAATGACACTTGTGGAGGAGCTGGGGGTGGTGGCTGTCTCCACCCTCGGCCTGGGTGCCTGTGGGCTGGGGGACCCTGTGGCCCAGGCCGTGCTGCAGGGAGGCTGGGGTTGACTCCAGGGCCTGTGCAGGTGCATCCTCAGGGCAATCAGAGACCCGGGAAGAGCCCGGAAGCCACAGTTGCCACCCCCGCCCCCGGCTGCCCGCCCCCGCTGCTGCTGAGTCGAGCCAGAGCTGCCTTCCACAGCCCTCCGACCATCTCCCGGCCCTTCCATCCCTCTGGAGCCCAGGGGTTGCAGCTACGGGACAGAGCCCCGATCCCCAGCCCGGCCTTGGTCAGGGTCAGTGGCCAGAGGTCACTCTGCCTCGGTGGACCCTCTGTGCAGAGAGCTGTTCTCTGTCCTCTGCTGGGCAGGTGACCTGCACCGGCCCCCAGGCAACATCTTCTTTAATCAGTTAAAGTCAGTAAAAGCAAACAGAAAAGCTCTCTGTCCCAGGAGCTATTGTCCCTTCCTGTAAAGGAGAAGTGCGTAAAACTAGGGGAATTCTAAGCATCCTGAAGCGCCCTGAGGCAAGGCAGCAGCAGAGCCTGCGAGGGGAGCCTTATCTCCACCTGCCTGGGGCGCTGAGCCTCTCCCGCAGGGTGTTAGTGGCCTAGGATCTGTTTGCCTCCTGCTGCCTCTTTGCAGACTGTTCTGCTCAACCCCTGAGCAGCAGGAAGAGGCCGGCCTGGTCTCCGATGTCCTTGTGTTATCAGGAGGAAGGTCGCCCGATGTTCCACCTCTTTCTAGGAGTCAGGGCCTGCAGCTGCTGGAACTTTCTGTATTTAAGTAAATGTGGGATGTGATCTCTCGCTCCAGTTGCTCTCGGGAATCTCGAGCAGGTTCTGAGCAGGACAGGGGAGCCCTTATACCCTCAGCAGCTGAACCCCGGGAACAGCAGGGCTGGGAAGCCATGATTCAGAGAACCCCGCGGTTTACAAAGAAACCGGAATTGACAGAGCAGGCAGGACGCGCGGCTGTCAGTCCAGCGGGCTGAACGCTGGTGCCAGGTGACCGCACGTGGCCTGGGAAGGGTGAGGTGCCGGGCACCCTGGACGCCTCCGAGGCCTTGGTGACTTCTGATGCGAGCACTGCCTCACAAGGTTTCCGGGGAAACCCCTCCCCGCACGGTTTCCAGAATTCCAGCACCGGTTCTGGTTCTAGATTGGTTTTTAAGAGTTGAAGGCGGCTCCTGGATGCTGCTTCACCTTTGTGGGGGAGGTGTGAGTCATTAGCTTTCGAGAGAGAGAGAGAAGGGGGTGAGCCCTGAGTTGTGTCTGCAGGACATCCGTGTAGCCTGGTGATGATCTGTGCCACCGCACACTCTCCCCTGTGCCTACAGCCGGCCCAGGCAGCAGCACTTACCAGCTTTTGGCCAGAGCTGTGTTTGAGAAAGGGCTAGAAACGCATAATAAACAGGAGTGTGTAAGGAAGGAAGGATCCTTTTGGGCAACCGTGTCACAGACATTTCAGTCTAGAAGCAGCCCAAGTGCCTGCACTCAGACCGGACCGGTGGGACCTGAAGCCCCGCGCTCCGCTCCGCTCCGGGGCTGGCTGCTGGGAGGGGTGGGGGGCTCAGGAGTCCAATGACCTGTCCTGAGTCAAAGCTCAGTTTCGATTCAAAGGTGTGCTGTGCTGACACCCTTGCAGGAGGGGCCGTGAAACAGAAAGTTGATGGAGCCCCTGGGGAGGTGGAGAGATTGAGGCACCTGGGCCGCCTCCTCCCACTTCCTTTCCCAGCTCTTCCGCCCCCCCCCCCCCCCCCCCCCCCGCCCGAGATCTTCTTCGAAGCTGGGGGAGCTGCTTTCAGCACATTGTCCCACCCAGGGGGAGCTGCTTTCAGCACATTGTCCCACCCAGGACGGGCGGCTGGGCCGGCAGTGCCTTCTCCACTGCCCCGGGCGTGCTCTCCATCATCCCTGACCCCGGCGGCCTGGCCGCAGGCAGCAGGAACAGGGAAGGGCTGGGAGGTGCCTCTCCTGACCCCTGGACCACAGGTGGGCGGGGGCAGGGAGCTGGAGGCAGGGCCAAGGGACTGTTCAGCACAGCCCGACCTGGGGTCCCCAGGGCCGGGGGACTGCCCGCTGTGGCTGTTGCTCCCCAGGCCTCACACCGAGTGGACGTGTTTATGGTTTGCGAGTGTGAGTCTGCCGGGGCCCTTCTGCATGCCAAGCACACGGGCAAGCAAAACGAGGAAGCCAGGGGCTCAGAGAGCCGCCGGGCGATCCCCTGAACTGGCCAAGCTGGCCACACGGGGCACCGTCAGAACCTCTGCAGGTGGGCACTGCCTGTGGCTGCTCCAGGTGACGGGGGCAGCCCAAGGGGGAGGCTGCCGGCTGCCGGCTGGGTGATGCTGGCAGGGTTGGGAGAGAGGCTGCCGGGCCTGGCTCCTCCTCTTCCTCCCCCGCCTGGAGCTCAGGGTCGGGCCTGGTGCCTCGCCCAGCACTTGTATTTGAAAGTCTCTCCGGCAGTGTCCGGGATTATCGGTCATCCCTGGCAGGGCTGCTTTTGATTTTCAAGGGCGCCCAGTCGGCCCGCCGGGCCCGCGCCTCCTGCGCGGAGAGATGCAGTGTGTGAGCTCGGTGCTGCTCGGCTACGGCAGCTAATTAGACGTTTGCGCCTCAGTCAGCTGGCCAGAGGCCGCCCAGCGCCGGAGACCCAAATCCTGCAGAAACAAGAAAGGGGCGAGGAGGGACAGGCTCTTGTCCAGCGTGGCTGCGTGCCGGCCCATGCTAATTAGGCATTTGTCCCTTCGTCTGGGGTGACAGAAAATGGCAGTTGCTGTGGTCTTTAACTGCCATCAAACTCCTGTCCAAATACTCCAGCCTGCCCAGCCTGCTCACTCGCTATTGGTGGAGGGAAAACTTCCTTTGGCACACCCAGGAGGAGGAGGAGGAAGCTGGGCCTTCCACGCACCACGGAAAGATTCATTCTGAACCAGCTGAAGGACACGCTTTAAATCAGCAGTCCTGCTGCGCTTGGTAAAATCAGGAAGGGGGACTGTGTCCCAAACTGAAAGCTAAGTTTCGAGCCAGCGCTTTCTCCCCAGGCCACCCCAGGGGGCCGGCTTCTCACTGAGTGAAAGTTTTGTCGTTGGTAAATCCAAGGTCAAAACGCAGCACTGCGTCTGTCTGGCACTGTGTTTTTACAGATAGATCTTTAATTTTCTAGCTTAACGGTCAGATTGCTTTATCATTGCTTATCGTGAGTGGGTGAAAGAGCCAAGTAATGACACGTCTTAAACACTGGTATCTGGTCGTATAGGCAGAGAAAACGGACTCGGTGGCTCTGTAGGAGCAGGAGGGGCAACCGCCTTGCAAAAGCACCTTCTTGCTCGTGGCTGGAGAAGGGGGTTCTCAGTGGGAAGAGCGAAGCTGGCCCCATGGTGAGGTCTGTAAGAGAACCCCGACAGTAATGACAGAGACGTGGTGTCTGAGGCGGCGGGCCAGGCTGGATGGAGGCTCTACTCCCGGGCGCCTGCCTCCAGCCAGGGCCTCGAGGCCCCGAGCCGGTCCCCAGCGTCTTCCTGCCCCGAATAACTTTTGTTACTCGCTTTATGTTCACGCATCCCTGCGGCGCAGAAGTGCTGGCTGTCCCTTGGCCGGCCTGCCTGGTACCGGCTGAAAAGGTACCATTGTTTGTTCTGCAAACACTGGGTGATGTTTGTTTCCAAGGTGACTGGTTCTACTGCTGCCCTTTAAGCCAGGGGGGGATGGGAGGAGAAAGCTGGCTCCGGGCACCCTCGAACATCCTGGTCTGGGTCCAGTCTGGGTGCGTGCGAGCGCGTGTAAGTTGAAATATTATTTTAAGCCAGGCGGTGGGAGGGAGCGGAGTGTGGGATGGGGAAGACAGTGTCGGTCACGTTAAAAATTCCAGAAAGGGCTGATGGTTCCCTCCTTTGACGTGGGGGGCTGTGGTAAGGGATGTGGCCCCGAAGGCCCGCCGAGGCCGACCGAGACCATCTTTACCTCCGCAGAAGTCAGAGCTAAGGGAAGGAGCCGGCTGGCGATGAGCGCGGGGACGTTCGTCTGTGCACAGGCCCCCCGCGGCCGCTGCCCCGCGAACACAGATGCTGGTGTCTGAGGAAAGCGCCATCGACGAGGCCCTCCCGAAAAACAAAAAAAAAAGCCCGTGAGAGACCCGCGAGGTGGAGGAGAGCGGGTTTCGGTTTTGAGTTCCGCCGCGACGGGACGACTGTGACCCAGCCGGGCCTGCACGGCGGGGTGGGCGCACCCCGGGCCGAGGGCAGGGGGGGCCGCCCCCCGCCCCCCGTTTATTGTGCTGCTGCTGCTGCTGCTGCAGGGCTCTGCTGGGCGCGGGGAGAGCAGCACAGGGTGAACATTAACCACGTTATCAGGCCGCGCCGGGGATGCGGGCCAAGGTCACGGGGCGCTGCTCCCAGAGAGGCGGGACTGGGGGCGACGCCGCGTCCCCCGGGGCGCCCCCTCGGCGGCCTGCCTGCACCCCGGGCCGCAGCCGGTGCCTGCAGACGCCCCGCCGGCCGGGCGCCCCCTGGGAACCCCCGCGGCCGGCCGGCGGGGATGGAGCCCGGGCTGGGCCGGTCACGTGCCCCGGCCGCTCCATCTTGTGGGATTCCTTCTGGAAGGTTCTGGGGCTGCCCGGCGGGCCGCTGCTCCCGGCCTGCCGTTGCGGGGGGCGCCCGGCGCGGGGCTGCCGTCGCCGAGGGGGGTGCCGAGCCCCGCGGCGTCCTGGGGCCGCGCCGCGCCGCGCCCCGCTCCGAGGGGGGGACGGGGCGGCCGGGGGCGCCCGCGGGGGCCGGCGGCGCGGGCGGGGCCCGGGAGTGGCCCGCGGGGCCGTCAGTCAGCGCGGCGGGCGCGGATTGGCCGGCGCGGCGGGGGCGGGGCTGGGGGCGGGACGGCCCGCGCGGCTCCGGGCTCGGCCCGCGGCCCGGCGGCCACTTCTGGAACAGGCCGGGCCGCAGCGCCGCGGCCCCAGCGTGCGGAGCGGCGCCCCTGCCCGCGCCCGCCCGGCGCCGCGCTGGGGGGCCTGCGCCTGCGCTAGCCCCGCCGGGGTGCCGGGGTGCCGGCGTGCGGGGGGGGGGGGTCCCCACTTGCCCACGCGCACCTGTGCTCTTGCCCGCGGAGGCCTCGGAGCAGCGGGCCCCGGAGCCGGGCCAGGGCCAGGGGGTGGCAGTGAACCCCAACTCCAGCGCCCACGGCCTCTCCTGATTGTGGGTGCGGGCAGCGGCCCTGTCCCCGGCCTGCCTGGGGAGCCCCGGGGCCGCGCTGAGCCGAGCGTGTCCCGCCGCCCTGCCCTTCAAGCCCGTGACCCGTGGGGACGGCGGGTTGTTGGGGAACTACCAGCCTTGCTCCTGCCGGCTGAGGACCTGCTGCCCCCCGTCCCTGTGCCCGGGCACCCCGGGAGAGCTGCTGCATGAGCGCCAGGGCTCACCCCGGTGGCCAGCCCGCTGACCCCAAGGCCTGCACCCCTGCCTGGTGATCGACTCCCTTTAGGGGTGCTCTCTTTCACGGGGCCACAGTTGGGGGCGCTCATCCCTCACACACCTGCCAGCACCCTACCCACACCCTTCCAGGTGGGTTGGATTCAGGGGGTGCCCCTAGGCTGGGGCTGGTCCCCTGCAGAGAGCTGCCTGGTGGTTCTGATGTCCTCTGGCTCGTGTAAACTGGCCACTCGTGTGCTGCTGCCTGGGCGCCTTCGAGCCAGGGGCACTTTCCCGGTCGGCCAGGAGATGCCATATGCACCTGCCGCTCCCTGCTGAGGCTGGCTGAGGCCTCGGCAGCCCTAGGGTCCTCTGTCTAGGCCCGGGGTGCCTGTGAGCACCCCACGGGCCTCCTCCCCCAGCGGGTGGAAATGCCACTAATTAATTTTTTAAGAAGCTGGCGCTGGGATAGAATTGTCAGGGATGCTCGGGAGTGGGACCAGATGTTTCTTTTGTGCAGGGCACCGGGAGACAAGCTCACAGGGAATCAGGCTCGGGACATTGACTCCCTCGGTCTGAGGCTGTGGTTTGGGGCGAGCGAGGGGGCGTATTTCCTTTAAAGGAAGAGGGTGGGGGTATGTTCTGGAAGCGGCTTCCCTGCCCCAGCTCCTGCGCTCTTATCTCCGGCTGAGCTGTTTCTCAATTATCGGCCAGCCCAGCTCTGGTGAGCAGAGGGTAAATGGCTCTGGGGCCTCTTTATCTCGACCCTCTGGCTCCGACTGCTTCACAGCTGAAGGCACAGCCTGTGCCCGCACTGGATTCCATGTGCTTTCTCTCCTCAGCGAGGAACAACAGGCCCCGGCCGCTCCTCATGCAGCCTACAGGCTCTGCGGCCTCTGCCTGTTATGAATGCGCCATTTGTTGCCGCCGCACAACTGTCAGACAACTGGCTCAGCCACTCTGCCTGCACCGGAGTGCATCCCGGCTGCCTCTCCCCCCCGCGCCCCCCGTTTTTTGTTTCTGCATAGGCCAGATTTCTTGGCTTTCAGTGTCACCACCCGGCCACCGCAGAGCCTCCTTGACCAGCTGACAGTGTTCAGATGTATGTCCCACAAACAAGGCTTCCGTTGCTCCAAGGCTTTATTATCAGGGTCTGAGCAGGTATTTACTTGATGGAGAAAGAGATTATTTCTGCTTGTGGTTTGGTTTTGCCTGCCTGCTTTTAAGAAAAGAATCTTCTGTAAGAGCCACGTGTCTTCGAGATTTTATTTTATTTCTTTATTCTTTTAAAAATTTATATTTTTATGCATACAAGAACTGGGGTGCAGGCCAGAAGTGCGGGGAGTGAGAGGATTCACCAGAGACAGAGCAGGAAGCAGAACAGGCGGATCCACTAAAACCCACTGCTAAGGGGAGCAGCGGGGAGTCAGGAGAGGTCTGCCGCGCCATGTGGGTAGCTCCCTGGCCGGCCGTGTGGATGGAACTCGTGCTGCAGAGGCCGCCGACAGCTTCACAGCGCTGTGCTCAACCCCTTGCGCCACCAGAGAGGCCTGAGATTTTATTTTAAATCGCACTGAGGTTTAAGAGTTTTGTTTTTGCTTGGCCAGGGTCATCCCCTTTACACCATCTCTTTGGTGGCCAGTGTGGTGTTGGCTCTGGGGTCGAGGGGTGCGGTCAAAGCCGAGCCCTGAAGTGTCTGAATGTCACCATCACAGGTCATTGCTGTCACTCTTCTCCTGGCGAAACAGGGTCTCCTCCAGAAATGATCCCTGGGATAAAATTTTTCACTGTGGTCTCTGGCTGCCGTGATTGTGTCCGTGGTGTGGGTGCACACGCTGCGTGACATTCCAGCTTACCTCCTGTTCTGTTGTAGTTTCACTGAAAGCACCCGCGTTTTTTTTCCTGCTGTGCTTGATACAGAGTGGGGAGCATCCGGCACCAGCCGCCTTGCTGGCTCTTGCTGCTTCCAGGCCTTGCTCTGGCCAGGGGGCCGGCTCTCTCCTGCAGCAGCAGTAAATCTCCCGCCCCAGCCCTTGGGCGCTCGCAGAAATGAGTCTTTTGCTGAGACAGTTTTCTGTGGTTGAATCGAAAGGAGCTGTCTGGGTTGTAAGAAATACACGTCTGTGCTGTCTTGCAGGGAGGTTAGGGGACACTGGGGCTTGTTTTTGCATTTTTGTTCAAATGAGGACATATGGATGCGTTTAAGGAAGAGTGTGTCCCCCAGTGTCTGGAGAAGGGTCCCTGGGGTCGGCGTAAAGATTAAGCAGCTACAAACAAGGAGGGAAAGTGAGCTCGGGTTCTATTGCTTCCAAGGGCAGCTTTCCTCACCCCAGCTTGGCACGTTTTTTCCGCCCAGGGCCTGCGTTTTCATGCTGGGGTTTGAACTGCACCTTTGAGCTGGGTAAACGCTTCTCCCTCTACCATAGTTTCTTGACTCATGTGATTAATACGTGTGTTGCTTAAAATGGCAACTGAAACATCACCAGGTATTTTCACCAGGTAGAAACTGCTTTTCCTGTGTCAAAACAACCAGTGTGGCTTAGTTGGTGCTTCTGTTGCTAAGCAGGTAAATTTCTGGTCTGCAGGCTGTCTGTTAACCCCGTAGATGCCGAATGCCAGGCCAGAAATAACCGGGAGGGAAACCATCATCAGTTCGAGGCGTCTTTTTCACGTAGCACTTGCTCAGGCTCAGGCGCGGGCCAACAGGGGCCTGGTCGGCTCACCTCGCTGTACCTATTTTCCAGGCCTGGACCTCGACCTTTGTGCTTTGCAGGAGAATAGGCGAGCCAGGTGATGGAGGAGGTTGGGGAGTCCAGGATCCCTTGAGGAGACATTCCAGGACGTGGACAGACCAGGGCCTGGGCTCCATGATGCATGTGGGTCAGACCAGCGATAGGCGTGGTCTCCGGCTTTGGCACTTTTCTCGACAAGTGGGCCGAAAGTTGCAGTATGGCTGTGGGGAAAAGGGGGGTGGGGGCAGAGACTGCTGTGTGCAGCATTTGCCAGAAAGGAGTTAATAGAACATACCGCAGAACAGGTTGGGCAAGACTGTTAAAGCTAGTGGTGAAGCCGCTCTCCCTCCGCCTGCTCTGCTCCCCTCCCTCTCCCAGGGCTTTAAAACGTCCCCAGGCTCCCCCTCCCCCATGTCAGTGTCTGGCTTCCCCCTCCAGGGCAGAACATTTGATGTGATGGAAATACTCTGTGGACGTGAGGGCCTGTGCCGGAGGCCTTGGCCTGCCAGCTGTTTCTCCAGAAGTCGAGCAAGGGTGCCTGAGTGTCCTGGCCTCCAACATAGGCCCCATTCAGCAGACACATTCTTCAGTGTGGGCCGGTGGCAGCCGGGGGGTGGGGTGGGGGGGTCGGCCGTCCTGCCCCAGTGCCATGAGTCAGAAGATGCTGCTGCTGGGTCCTGGAAGCTTATGGCTCCAGCTCACGCTTGGGGGAGCTGGTGCTGGCCCTGGGCTGCTGGAAGTCCTGGTGGCGTGTGTGGGGGCCCGTGAACAGGCCATATATAGTCATGCCGGGCGCACCGGAGCGGAGGACGGCTTGCTGGGTCCCCGCAGGCGGGCCTGGGAAGCTCACCCGTGCTATTTCTGGTGTGTCCTGGCTGCGCTCGCTCTGGTGGGCGGGGGAGGGGGTCTGTGTGTCCGCCCTCCTGGGTCCGAGACGTGCCTCCCACCCCAGCGAACCGGCACATGGGAGAAGCGCCCCCCCCACGTGAGGACGGCCA